TATTTAATATTTAAAAATTTTAAATAATTTATTTTTGTATAAATTATTATTTATATAGTCAGAAAAATTGAAAATAGAGATAGAAGAATTAAGAACAGAATATAAGAAAGTTAAAGAAGAAGCTGGACGTATAATTTCTGAAACGCAGCATGAAACGCAAGAGATGGTAAGGTTGATAAAATTTTAAAAATTTTGAATTAAAGTATCAATTTTGACATAATTTATGACATAAAACTTGAGAATAACATTGTTAAATTATATATATTTAGATATCAAAAATGAGATCTGAAATGGAAGATTTAAAGATGGAACATGAAAAGTCGGAAATTAGAGCAAGAACTTTAATTAGAAATGCTCAAAAAGAATCACAAGAAATGGTAAAAGTATTTTTTATGCTAATTAATTTAATATTTGAAATCTTTTTTAAAATTAAATTAGAAAGATATGTTGTATTAAATTAAATTTATTTTATCAAAACATTTTCAAGTGAATTTTAACTTTATATTCCATATTACAAACAGAATATTCATCATAAAAAGAACATAAAAGGCAAACAAATACAATTAATATATTATTATACTGTATTTTAATCATGTTTATGTGGTTCTTATAAATTAAAATTTTATCCAAATTCATTAAATTCATTAGCTTTTGAGTAATATTTCTAGTCAAAATAATTTTAAATCTGAAAATGGAATAAAAATTGTTATTTAAATCTTTAAAAAATAAAGTACAGATTCCATGCAATGAAGCAGAATTTATAACTGTTCTTAGGGTGAAAATCTTTTTCTATTATGAAAGCAGGATCAATGAGAGGAAGAAGCTGGGCTTTATAAGGGCTTAAGCCCTTATATGAGCCCATCTTCTTCCTCTCATTTAATTATAAATGAGTCATATAATTATGTTATAAATTCTTGTCATATAATTATAAATTTTAATTATAAAGTCTAGAAAATAAATTTACACATTAATTATGAAATCTAAAAATGTGATAAGCCTAGGGGTCCAGGAAGTCCTTGCTCTATGACTAAGACTCTGAGACTAGGTTTTGTTCTGTGTGACTGTATATGGAAGAAGATAATATAATTTTAAAATAGTCATTAAAGACTATTTTAAAATTATAATAGAGCTTCAAAAAGTTAATTTCTCAGATTAAATTAAAGAATTTAAATGCAAAATTATTATAATTATTATTTTTTAACTTTTTAAAATTTTTAGGCCAAACAATTAAAAACATTACATGTCAGGCATCTTCAACAAGCCTGGATAGAAAATATTTCATCTGCTAAAACTTATTCTGAAGATTATCAGAAGATTGCTGACTTAACAAATAAATTGGAAACAAAAGAAGTAAATGTTTATGATACTAATTTTTATAATTTATTGAAATATTTATGCAATAATTGATTCTTCCATTGTATTATTCAGATAATTATCAATCAACTAAAATTAAAAATTGAAGAGTATGAAGAGGAGAAAGAAAAAATTAAAATATTGGAAATGAGAAACTCAGATTTGGAAGACAAGCTTAAAGAGTTAAATATCACTTTAAATCGAATAATTAGTTCTCAGAATCCTGTAGGTATTTTTAAATATTGTGTAAATTAAATTTTGTATAATAGCAATTCACATAATTTTTTTATTTTTCCAGCAACAAAAGGAAATAAGTCTATTAAAAGAAGAAATAAGGATTCTGGATAGAAGGTAATTATTAAAGAAGAGAAAAAAATTCAGATTTAGATATTCTAATTAAGATAAGAACTTTATTGTTTACACATTTTTAGATATTTTATGCATTTTATTATATAAATATACTTAAGTGTTTAAATTGTTTTAGCCTTAGGCTAGATAATAAAATATTTTTATGACCAACCAAATAGTTGCACATTAAAAGATAGTATTGTTTTTTTTTTATTACAAACAAGAAAGATATATACTATGAAAAGATAACCATTTACCTAGAAGTAATTTTAAGTGTTTGGTACATCTCTCTTTAGAATTATCAGCTTTAGTCTATTTGCTTTTATTATTTAAAAGCATTTGCTAATGTCTTTACTTTAGAATGAAAGATCAAATTGCATTTTTAGTGAATAAAAGTTGATAAAAATAAGATTATTTTTTTCATAATAAACCAATATGCACCGAAATTCAAAATGATAAGTGTTCTGATTATAAATTTTGATATTAGAAGATATTTCTCTCATTCAATTTCATTTTGTCATGATAAATACTTTTTAAAGGATGTAAAATGTAGTCTGAATTATATATTTGCTTAAATAATAAAACTAAATTCTAAACTACAATAAAACTAAATTCTAAAATTATATAAACATATATAATTATTATTAAATTAATTACCCTTAGGCATAAAAGTAGAGAAGAAGAAATACAGAAACTTTTATTTAAATTGAAACAACAAGATTCAAAATACTTGAAGAAAGAAGTAGAAAAATGGCAACAGAGAGTAATAGACAAAAATAAAGAAATTGAAGGATTTCGTGAAGAATTGGATGTCATATTGAGGTTTTTGGAGGAACTGAAGCAGCAGGGTATCACCATACCTCGTGCCAGGTCTGCAGTGTTATAATGGACTATACTTACAAGTAAATTAGATGTTTTCCAAGAAGAATTTTAAACTGTAAATAAAATTATAATTTATGCAAACATTTAAAAAATAATTTAAAACAAGAAAATTGTGATATATTCATGTAAAGAAACCAAAAACTTGTTAATAGTTATATTTTTAATATATATAAATAATATTTATTTGTAAGGAAATTGTAAATATTTTTATAATTGAATATTTTTGTAATTATAATTTCTTGTATTTTATTTTTTGAGCATAAAAATACATTTTTCTGAAATTTATATACATTATTCTTCGAATGAATTGATTATAAAATTGATTTTTAGAATTTCATCCCACATCAAATATATTTATTAAGAATCACAACAAAATATAACTTTAAAATAAATTGTCATAATTTAATTAATTCTTTTTACCTCTATGTCCTTACTGTTTTACTTTTTTGTTCCCATATTGTCATAATTTAAAATTATTTTGCCTAAAATGCAAGTAAAGTAATTATTATATGATTTTTATTTTTACATATTTTATTTGATTTTTAAATTAAATGGAATATGTAAAAATTACTGCATTATGGCTATTATTAGATTTTAAATTTAGAAAAATGATTCATAATTTCTAAATTTATGGATTCTTTTAAGCATTTTTTCAGTAGTTGATATACTAATTTTTTATTTTTATATAATAAAAGGTCCTGTTTGAATGATTCTAAAGATAAATAATATAGAATACTTCAAAAATATTTACACAACTGTGATTAGCTTTATTTTCTATAACTTGATTCTAAAAAGTAAGAAATAATGCTTAAAATAGCTTCTGATTTAAATAAATTTTTAGAATAGATCTAACATGTTTTCAGTTCTAAAATTATATCACAAGACCTTACATTGTGCAGATGACCCTTCTAAAATTATAGAACAGAAGATACGACCTTACTTTACTACATCTGACCCCGTTCTAAAAATTATACAAAAGAAAGTGGCCTATAATACATATTTTCCTAAAGAAAATAGCCTATTTTACAGGGATAAAGGCATGCTTATGTTTTTAATAAGAAAAAGAAGAAGAAAACATGGACGACGCCAGGCACTTCACTACCTAATAAAAATTTTTAAGCATCGAAAGAGGTCATAGAATGCATAGAAGAGGTGCAACAATAGAATCGAGAAGACGACGAAAAACTTGAAAAAGTCGAGAGTCTCCTTGGTTAAAAAAGCGGGGGCGAACGAATTCGGGGAGGCAAAGCAAATCGGGGAAAAGCGTGGGCGTGGTCTACAGAGAGAAAGTGCAGCAGACGGAGCTGGAGCCTGGGGCTATCCTGACACCACGTGCAGAGGCAAGGACGTTCGATGTCAACCGTTTTAGCAAAAAGGAAAAACGCCATGTGTTGTAGTTGGAGCCGTTTAAGGCGTAGATGCTTGTTTTACTTGAAAAGATATTCTTTAGTGGTGAGTATATATAATTCTTTTGTTCTGTATCGCCACTCAGCTGACATCCAGGTAAAGGAAGGTAACATAGGAAATGTTGGAATTATGCCAAAGCGTGTTTTAACTGTCTGCTAACTTTCATCCTTTGCTTGTTTTATATTCTCTTTACAGATGTTCTGGACGGGTATCAATAGTTTAGTCTTTTGGACGACTTATAACGATTATAAAAGGCAACCGGAGCATTATTATCTTCATCAGATTTTAGGAGTAAGTCCTTAATTATATTTTTATATTTATAAAAGTTTAGTAGGCGTACGGTGGAGTCGTACAGTCGGTGATTTTTAAGGCCGTTAGATTGTTATTGTGGTTCAACGAGGTCGCAGTTAAGATACAAAAGTCTGTTTCAGAAGTCAAACTCTAAACGGCAGAGAGGGAGATTTACAGTTTTGGGAGGCCCCCGTCCACTTTCTTTACTGATAACGTAATGATGATGTCTGGTCACTTCCGAAACACAAACAATATTTGTTTATTTTTGCTTTTAACAAACTATTTTCTACTTTCCGTTATGATTTCTAATATCAACACCCGTGACGAGTTTGTATTTATTTTCGCATTTTCTATATTTAAACATTCCCAAAAATTGTGCTGGATTTATTTGGGAATGTTTCTCCATTCCGTTCTAAATTAGAATTTACTTTTAAATTATTTATAAAAAATCGAAACAATTTATAATTAATGATATCACCAAGGCATTTAGATAAACGTTTATTTACTATACATAACATCAAGGTTAAAGGGATTGAATGGGGAGAGCTCAATTTATATATTAGTTCACTTCAAGTGCACGAACAAAAGTAGCATTAAAAAACTCTCCACAAGAGAAAAGAAGAGAGTTAATTTTCTATAACCGACTGTAAATGTCAAAAGAAGGTTAAACGATGCAATTTTCTTTTCTTTCTTTTTTTTTTTTTTTAAATTCTCTCCAGCTTTTTATACAAGTTTAATTCATTTGAGAGATTAGCTTAACAAGAAAAACTATTACCCCACTTAATAAAAGTCACGTTCTTTTTTTAAATGTAAATTTGCTGTATTCAAAACTTGTGAACGAACTAAGATTTCGTCAAAATCTGCATATTTTTTGAGCTGTTATTTAGATATAAAATCGGACAGACAGACACATGAATGAATATATTACGTTAGCGCTTTCTGAGATTTACATACAAGCGGTAATTACGGAAAAAAAACGGTAATTATTGACATCATATCACGTGGGTGGTGTGAATCATCTGAGAATATCAATAGTCATCTGCACATCTGTCAATTATCAGGGTTCTAATATCCCGAAATAGAAAATTCTTTATCCTTTTCCACTACTGGAAATATCCGGTTATCCGCAGATGATTATAAAACGTTAGGTTAATGAATCACACACTTATTATATAGAGAAATAAATGTCATTATTATCGAGATATCAATCAGTCGTTTATAACGAGTACAAGTTTGATAATGGCGAGATAATAACAAGTCACTGTATCAATGAACGATTGTTTTAAACGGGAATAAAAGAAGATGAAGGTCGACATATACTTTTCAATAATAATAAAAAAGGAAGGAGTGAAAGGGAAAAAAATGAAAATTCTAAGAATTCTATTAAAAACAAAAGCATTTACGGAGCACAGATCGAACATTTGATCGGGATAAAAAGGGGTTAAAACAAAGATCAGGAATGCCAACGTGGAAAAAAATCTGAAAAGAAGAAGAAGATTGGACGATAATCGCTTCCAAATTGACAAGAGGACATTGTTTTGATGTCCTTAAACCATTTTATTCGTCGAAATTCCACCTAAATTTTAACAGCATCGAGAAAAAAATGCTTTTCTATAATCGGATCATTTATAATTTGGATATACACCAAGCAAATGCTGCACTATTTACGACGATAAAATGACTAGAAATTTAATAAAGATATTTTCCGGTTCTTGTCCTGTTCTCTCCTTGTAAATCCCCAATATTGGATGCGACGAAGATAACGACCTGCTTTAGAACTGTTAATTTTCAGAACGGAAAGGCTTCAGGCAAATGTTAAACCTTATTATTCGATAATTAGTTTTGTGCACCATTTTCCTACGGATGAATGATAATCGTTTCGAATTCGACAAAAGGACGTTGTCACAATGTCCTTAACCCATTTAGTCTCGTAAGAAATTGTGTCCAAATTTTAAATCTACCGACTAAAAGCCCCCGCCCAAATTCGTCTCCCGGTTTCGGGTGCCGAAAAAATAATTGCTCCAGGCAAACGTCGGGATGTTAGTATTCAGTTAATTACAGTTTCGTATCCCATTCTCTTATCGTCTTGTATTGAAAAAGGCCGATAAGGATAATTATTTTCTTTACTGGTTACACGTATAATTTGCTACTCGCATCTGGGTCAGGATGATTAGTCGTTATCCCGACGATAATTAACCGTTACGTGATACTAGTACTATTGCGGATAATTACTATCTTGTCGGATGATGCTTAATTAACTCAGATAATAACTGAAGTTAACTATCCTAATCGCACTGCTTAATTACGATTAAGTCATTATCATCATTCGGATTAGCTTAATTTCTTTAAGTTAAGCCACTCGTTAACGACGTAAGATTGGGTAATTAATTACTGTTCCGATGATAATCCGATCGGGATAATTAATTGCTGTTTACAAATGATAATTAATTGCAAATCTGTATTCATTCAAGCTACGTGTAATTAGCTTGGGATCTTTGATAAGTTTACATCTGATCACATTTAATCATAAGCAAAAGAAAGAACATGGTGATTCATTTTTGAGAGTTGCTGTTGACATATTGGTGATTATGTCCGGTACGAAAATTGTCATATGACCTACTTACAAACCCTAAGTTCTTACATAACAAGTTTTATTTTAATTATATATAAATATATATATTTTTTTAAACTGGAGTTTTAGTCTAATACTCTATTTTTTTTTCTTTTTTCTTTTTAATTTCCTTTAGTCAGGTTTGTGTTTATCTAGAGCGACAGCTGCAGTTCTGAACTTCAACTGTTTCGTCATTGTCTTACCCATGTGTAGGACGGTTACTTCGATATTCAGATCTATATTCGGAGGAGTAAGTAATAAAGTTTCGTGTAAAAATTCTAGGAAAATGGCTTTTAAGCTTATCAAGCCATTAAGATGTTTGGAAAAAAAAAGATTGTTTTTGATGTAATTAATTATATAACCGACTAACCTATCAAATTTTCTTTCTTTTCTCTTTATTTTTTAATAGACTACCATAAAAAGTATACAGATATGGATAGAAATCGGGAAAAGTTTCCATATATTATGCGCTGTTACCATCGTTATTGCTGCAGGTAATTTAATTAAAATATTTTTGAAAAGTTTTAATAGTTGAAATGTATAACAGATGGCGCTATGATTTTTTTAAGGAATAAATTAATGGCTTGGCAGCACTGCATTGTTTACAATTGATTTAAATCAAAAGCCCACTATACTGATGCAAGATAAGTTTAGTGGCCTATTAAACCTAGAACCGCGTAACCTCACTTCAGTAAAGTTCAAGGCGTTTTCTATATTGCATACTAAGCTGAATTAATGCATATTAATCCCTAAATTGATATGATATGCACTAATATAACTTAACTACCAAACCCACGTTGGTAACGCAATGTTTATGTACCCACACCAATACAGTACTTCAACCCTATTCTTATGCAAATTTCCGATTCGATTTGTGTAATTAGTGGTAATATTTGCATCTAAACTGTGTTAAGTGATGCGTTGCTCGCAGTTTAGACCCATTATTGTTGCAAGAATACTTAACATGTTTCAATTGCATCTGCACGGTGACTGAATCATAATTTAATACAAAACTTAATATTACACATGGCATGTTTGCAGCTCATCATTAAATTGCAATCCAGTGCATATTTTTCTGTTATATTTAATGCAAATTATTGATGATTTTAATAGAATGTTTCTGTGCTTATTGATATATCATCAGCTGCAATTTAAGTACAGTTGCAATTTCTGTAAGTACTTTTAATTCAGTTTAAGTATTTAAATTGCAATTTCTGACAACTCAATACACAATTAGGATACAAAATTAATGCAACTGTTTGAGGTATATTATTCATTTTAGTGAATCATGTAACTCTGTAATTGCTAATTTAACTATAAAGTCGCCAGAACATTTAAAAAATTAATTAAATCTAACTTTAGCATGATTTAACTTTAATATCTTCCGCCCTATACTTACAATACACAAACTTGATTCATTGAAACCACATAATCTGCAATTTCAACGAACAAACTTACAATTTTGCTTGATATTTTTAAGAAAGAGGATAGATTCTCTGAATCGAGTAATAAGAATATGGAGATTCACTTATTACTCTTTCATGTCAGATCGAATTACATTTTCTTAAAACATCATTTTATTTATTTATTTATTTATTTTTTATTCATCTGCTTTTACACAGGATCTTAAGGTATATCTGGATAAAGACACTTGATTTAGCACAATTTAATACATGTGACTTGTTTTTTAAAAAAATCTCAGTTCGGATATCAGCTGTAAATATATATTCATGCCCTCCTTTACTGTTTTGAAGAAAGTTTATTATATAAAATTAAAGATAATTAATTATATTTTTGGTTTAGAAATGATTGAAATAAACTCCAATTTACGTGTAGAAGTCTGTTTGAAGTAGAGTAAACTGACACCGATGCCACTAAAGTTGAGTAGTTAAGTGTAGATAGGAGCTTTATGCTGTTTTTTAAATAAAAATTTAAAATATTAAATATATTTTAAGTTCTAAATTTATTTAATGATACATATGTACAGATACCTTAAATTTATCCATAAATGGTATAATAGTTGCTTATATCTATAGATATACAATATATCCAGTGGCAAATTAACATACTTGACGCTTAGGATCTTCAGATAATTCGGGGTCCGTTGAAGGTTCTGTTTAATATTTATAAATGAAATTTAATATACAGTTATTTCTATTTGGGGCCCCTCGAGCTCGAAGGCCTCAAGCTAGGAATTAGTTTGCTTATAAGGTAATCTGCCATTTGAGTATACTGAAGATTTTATGTCACAAATTTCTGTCGTCTGAAACCAATATGGCGGCACTAAAATTCCTATATTTTCTGAATGGATTTAAATTAATATGCGATTACAATGCGCTAGTTTTTTTTAAATATGAGTAATATTCAAACTGTTTTATTTATTTATTTATATTTTACATGATTTTTTTTAAACTTTCAACATCTGCACTAGAATATATAATTTTCAAGGATTTATCCTTGAACTTGCACCTAACTTTTCTGTTTAACAGCGGGTAGGGAGAAGGAAAAAAAACGTGTAAATGCAGACGTTAACTGGTCCCATAGGAATATGTTCACGTGACGAATGCAAATTGTGATTCGATCACATCCCCCATTTAGTATTTACATCACGAAGAGACTTGCAATTTATATTTATTCTAGACCCATTTTAAAATTTAGGGATTAATATAACTTATAGCATATATATATATATATTCTTTTAACTGTTAAATTATAGAAACCATATATTACATAATGCTTTTATGCACTTCCTTATTTAAAAAAAAATATATATATATATAAATAACAGCTTTCAATCAGTAAATGGAGAGGCACACTTACTGATAACTTGTAATTTATTGGTACAGTTATTCATTCAGCTGCACACGTGGTCAACGCGCACAACTTCTCTCAATATTACAACCCCCACTTCCCAGAAATAAATATGGCATCTTATAAATATGAGGTGAGAGTCAAATCTTTTGAAAAAATAATAAACACTAAAGTTTTATTTTAAAAAATAAATCAATTTTTTTATTTTTAGAATTCTTTTCTGATGATTATTCGTTCAGGTATGAGTCATTTTTGCGTTTTTATACATGAAATTAATTTTTAAAAATCCATTTATTAATCATTTTATTTTTATAGTTCCTGGTATTACTGGTTTGTGTATGATTGTTATTCTTTTTTTATTAATTACTTCATCTTTAAAGCGAATCAGGTAATTCTAACAAAGAAAAAATGATTTTTTAGTCTTTTTTTAAGGCATTTTTTTTCTTGTTTTGGATTTTTTATAATAATTTTTTTTTTACTTTATTTTCTTACAGGACAGCTTTTTACAATTTATTTTGGTTTACACACAGATTATTTATTTTGTTTCTTCTATTATTGTTTTGTCATCCTATGGGGTAAACGATTTTTTAACATTAAAATCATTAAAGTACAGATTTTTTAAATTAAGATTGTTTTTTTTTCTTCTTTAGTGGAGTGTTAAAGGAACAAAGTAACGTGGATAAACATGTTCCGGGTTGCATCCCTGTTAATGCTACTTTAGAAAATTTGCTAAGTAAACCCGCCGATCATCCTATTTGTAAAGAAGCGCCAGTATTTGTGCCACAATCTTCCGAAGTAATTAAAAAAATATATGTATAAGGTAGGACCCCATTATGGCCCACCAAGTTTAGACTATTATTTTGACCAACTTCAATTATTTTTTTATTTTTTTACTGAGAGGTAACTAAGCTATCACTTAGAGTCTAGGTCATTTCTTGGGGAAAAATTAGTCAGAATAATAATCCAAATTTGGTGGGCCATAACGGGGTCCCTACATTAATAAATTACGAATTAAATTTTTAATAAAATCTACTTTTCTAGACGTGGAAGTGGATAGTAGCCGCTTTAGTTGTATACGGAATTGACGTTGCCATAAGATTAATTCGAAGATGTTCCGCCGTTCAAGTACTCGCTCTGAGGATTTACGGTGGCTCTGTTCTAGAATTGAGGTTATTAAAAGCGGGTTTTAGAGCACTTCCGGGGCAGGTGAGGAGAAAATTACTCTATTTTACTAAATAACACTCAATAGAAGCGATTAGTAAATTAGATTTGTCATAGTTGAAGTTCATACGACACTTTTTATTACGCGTTTTTAGTACTAGTAATGATGATACTTAAAAAGCAATTTTTGCATTCTTAGCAAGTAAAATGAATAAGTGATGACAATTAATAATGAATTAGGCGTACCATTTAAAATGATAATCCTTTAAATGTTGATACATTTTAAGACGATATTATAAACATTTTTTTTTTTTTACTTTAAAAAATTATAAGATCATTTTTCAAGTGTGTTTATAAATTTAAAATGCACTCCGAATACTTTATATGAGTCGAAATAAATCTTGATAAGAAGTTCACTTCAATATATTTATACAGTAAAACCTGTTCAAAACGGAAACCTGCCAAACGGAAAATATTCGGTTCGTGAGATTCCAGTTTACCCAGGTTTTACTGTATATAGTTTTTATATTATTATTATATTTATATATTTGTTTTATGCATTAATTATATTAAGTACTGTAATATATTACAGTACGTTTTACTGCAATGTCCAGCTATATCGTCATTTGAATGGCATCCATTTACTGTTAGTTCGGTAAGTGGCATTGATGTTTTTTTTTCTATCGAATCGTGTTTAACTTAAAATAATAAACAAAAATTGCAGTGCCCGACCGAAAAGGAACCGAGTTTTACTCTACACATAAGAACTAAAGGAGATTGGTCATGTGAGTCAGTTAATATTTTTAGTATTTATTAATGATTTAATTAAAAAAAAAACCATTAAATTTCAGATAGCCTTCAACGACATCTTCTCGAAGAAATGGGTTTTAGTGGATTGAATATTAAATCCTCCGAACTGTTAGTTAATCCTCATCGTAACGTCACCGGGTACTGTTAAGTACAATTATACTTTATCGGCATAACGAGTCTTAAAATTAACTTGCGACTATTTTTAGTTTATATGTAGATGGACCATTCTGCAGCAACTCGGAAAGTGTAAGGAATTACGAAATTAGCATTTGTATAGCCGGAGGAATAGGCGTTACTCCATTTGTATCAATTCTTACTTACTTAAGGTGATTATAAGTTTCAGCAATGATTGTTTAGCTGTAGGGAAAGTTCAGTACAGTAAATGATGTGTATCTTTTGTTGTAGAGTAGATGGGAACGTCGGTAAAATGCAGAGACTTCATTTTATTTGGGTTTGTCGAGAAATCGAAACGTTTCTATGGTTTGCAGATCTACTCTGCGATCTTCATAGAACGGTGAGCAAAACTATAAACTAAATTGTTTTTTTTAATGCAGAAAATAAGCCATTATAATTAATTATTTTTACAGTTTTGGGATAAAAATAAACCAGATTTTCTCGATATTCAGTTATATTTAACGTGTCCAAGTATAGGAACAATTGTTAGGGTAAATGATTGTGTCTAATAATGGAAAAATTTCTGACTAAAACCATTAAAATACAATTTTTATCAAATGTTTAGGGTATGATCGGTGAACAGTACGGCCTTTTAGAGGCTAGATTACATATCGGACGTCCGAAATGGAAGAAAGTATTCAGAAATTGGACCGAAATTTATGAAAAGTAACGACGTGGAATTCATTTAATACTACATTTTTGTTAATGCCGATGTATTTAATTATTTATTTATTTATTTATTTTGTATACAGAATACGAGTTGGAGTATTTTGTTGCGGGCCGAGATCTTTAAGCAGACAGGTAGGGAAAGTTTGCAAAGAAGCAAAAATTTCTGGCGGAACGTTTGTCTATCATAAAGAATCATTTTCTTGATGTAAAATATTTATATTAACGTAAATTCTCGATATATCCCGCAAAATGTAAGATGGCTTGCGTACCGAAAAATATAAAACAACGAGCATCGTACTTTATAATATAGTGCCATCTTTTTTTTTTAATCTATTATTTTACTATAATTTTCGAAGACGAAATATACATTCGTATATGTAATACGCTGCTCAATATTATCTTTCGTAGTAAAGTGTATGATATGTTATTAAATATTTTTTTGCTTAAAAACTAACATGTAAGCTTCAAATTTTTCAGTTTAGTGACAGAATTATTCTTTAAAATGTAAAATTAAATATTAAATTAAATAATATATTATCCTAAGAGTAGCCGAAAATCAGGCATATAGATATTTGAATATTAAAGATCGGGCTTAATTATTGTTTATGTCTGTTTAAATTGAGTTCAAGTTGTGGATAAAATATAAATTTATAATTATATCGAAACAATGAATATTTTCTTATCTAAATTATAAAACAATGGGAATAATCTAATACTAAATAAAAAAAATTATCTTGATAGTACTGTACATTATACTGTATATAACTGTTATACTCGACCTACAACCATTCAAGGTTAAGATTATCGTTATTAACCTGTTTGTAAATTGTTTATGGATTCAGGTCAGACAATTGTACATACACCTTCGTCTGCGACATCATCAAAAACTTTAAATATTTCTAGTAAAGTTTGTGTATTATTATTATTTTTTTAGAATACAAAATAAAATTAGATTACTTTTAAATTTAGTTTAATTGAATACTTACAAAAAACTGTACAGGATGTGTTAGTATTAATGTACAATTGTTACCGGTTGGAAAAATAACTTAAACGAACGATTCCTCCTCGCTGTTTTTACTGTCCAAAGAAAGAGTTCTAACGACGGGAGGTGGAGGGGGACGATAAGGTGGCGGGTGCGCAAACATTGCCCTTAATTGAGCAACACTCCAACTGATTTCGTTAGGGCACGTTTCCGAACGACTTCTGGATGGTTGAGCCAATTGAGCGTCACTCACGTGAACCGGTGGCAAATGTCGAAGCCGAACCGACGTGCCCTCGCTGACGGCCCTCTGTAAGCATCTGTGTATTTTTGGAGACGAATCTAAATTGTCCTCGCTATCTACTTTAACCAATACTGCCCTATGGGTATCGGCTAATTGCTCGTTATAGAGTCGTACCGATTCTTCGTATAATTGTTTAGCTTTGGCGCTTAATGATAATTGTTCTTGCTTCCTCATATCGGCGTTGGCTTTCATGGTTGAGGAATCGCGCACTAGTGAACTGCTTCTGGATATATTAGGCGTGTTATCGCCATCCGAATCGATGAGATCGATGTGGGAGGTAGATTGACTTCGTTTCCATCCTGGTGATCTGCAATGAGCTGCGAACCATACCGCGTGACGATCCGCTCTGTGACCGTATAACAATCTTCTGGGATGAGGAGATGAAGGTTTGAGTGGTTTCATGGGTGGAGATGGAGCTCTCCCTTTACGATGAAGGGCCGGCCGCTTTTGAAATAAGGAATCTTCCGATGCCAGATGAGGATTTTGCATACTGTGACACCATTTGGTTGGTGTTTTATCAGTTCGAACTAACTTACGTCTTCTTACAACTTGACAGCACGTTCCACTGATTGAGGATAAATGGGGAACACTTTTTGTGCATTCTTCGTTTTCGTTGTATAATTGTGTGTCACTTAAAGTTAGACCAGAATCACGGCTTATATTTGTAAGCGAAAGTTTCGCACTCGTTTCTAAACAATCTCTTTCTAAACTGTCGACTGAAGAATCATCTCTTCTGAAACCACCTGTAAAAAATTCATTTTAAAATAATGATATTCCAATATGCCTTATAGATAGGAATGATCTAGAATTTTCTATATGATCCGTTATTTTTATTAAATTATTTGATTTTACTAAAAGTAAAAATATTCATTTTTAAACGTTAACCAGCATTTAAGCCAGTGGGGTGTCGTTCTGTCTAATACGGGGGTGCTGGTGCAGGAGTGTAAAGTTAAATTTAAAACATATGAAGTCAAAACGATTCTATTAGGGCTGCCTGCCGCGTGCTTCCTGCAGCAACACCCCCAAAATACACACCACCAGCCGTAACCGAGCAAAACTCAATTGAACTGATCAGTACATCTGAAAATATTTATTATCGGTGAATACTGCACCACGTGGTCTACTCGTAATGATTACAGATTGCTTTAGGCTGCCAATATAAACACGCCGTTGATTTCTAACAATTAAAAGAAATATAAAAAATGCGTCTTATAGTCGAACTTACCTCCTCCACCGTGAAAACTATCAGATTCTTCCGCTCCAGAATCCTGCCTTTCGTCCATGATTTGATTGTATTCTTCGTGAAATAAAACTGGCCAATTATCGATAAGATAACACACTAATGATGGTGTCTTTTTTGATACATCCTATAACAAATCTCAAGATTTATTAAAATTTCAAAACCAATAAATTGAAATATTTTAAAATATGTTTCACCTCAGACATCAAAAAAGACTTTCCAGGATCAGTAGGACATAACAGAGTAGGGCCCATGCAAACAGCAAGATTATATGAAGTCATTTTATTTTCTGAAGAATATTGACTTATCTTCCATAAAACACACAAAAGTTGTTTAAGAAGTTGAATATTTTGAGGGGGTAATCTATTCAACAAACTGCAATATAATACATTACCTTAAATCAATTTTAAAATGATTTAAACTCCATTGTTTTCTATGGAAAGTCAGTTTTTTTAATAAATAAAAAAATATATATTAAAAATAATTGGAAATCATACTTGGTAACAGTTTCTTTTCTTTTCCATTCTGGTTGAATATCAACAGTTTCTAACCACTCCTCATACAAATTAGAAGATAGAAGACAATCAGGCAAACATCTCAAATAATCCTAAAATATCAAATATACAGTAATGCAATATAATGCCAATATATATCAGTTTACTTTTGCATAAATAATACTTTTTTAAATCATTAAATTTCTTATTTTACATCTGCTTTATCTCGCTAATCTAGCAAATAAAATTTAAACACGAAGCACTAGAGATTATTCTTGTGTGATGATAACAATGATAATGCACATTTAAGTCACATTATTCGTAGCAGTTTACTATTACAAAATTTTAGAATTTATTAAATCGAGAATAAACTCTACGACCAATATTTTATTTGAATTTATGTATATATTTGCTTTATAAAAACAACTTACAGATGTATTATTATATATAATTTAATATATAGAATTTATAATGTAGAAATTCTAAGAAACGTAGCGTATAAGAAAAAAATATATATATTTTTTCAGTGGCCCTTACGTGCTATGGCATTAATTATACATATCCCACATACAAAATTTCTATATTTAATGATGTCATAATACTAAATATATTCAAAAGCCGTTTAGCAAGTCAAAAATGTATATAATAATTAACATATAAAGTACACTTGTACGAACCTTTAATACACAAGCCAAAACAATAGTTGGCTTCATTTCTATTTTATAATCGGGATTTTTATCTAAAGCTGTCTTCATTTCTTTACATGCCTTGGTTGTAGCCGATTTTCGAAAGATGTCAACGGTATGAGGTCCCTTCTCGTACAATTGATCTAAAATTGCCTGTAATAACAGTATTTAGGTAAACACATATTGGCTTTTCGATTGATAGGCCTATTTCTAATGGATTATTTACCGATATAGGCTTCGGTAGACTTTGTTGACACACTTTTTCCAATGACTGACCGAACAGTTGACCTCGGGAAACACAATTCTTATCTTCCTGGTTCACGTTTTGCTTACTAATTTGACGACGGAATGGCCAAGGAATGAATGGACCTTTTTTCAATTTTTTTGTTTTCTTCTTATNGTATACAACAAGCCCACTCACGTCCCGTTATACATTCCTTCAACCTCCAATGATCCACATACTTATAAGCTTTCAGCGTTTAGAGCTCTAGTTAGAAGGGCATTCTATTATTGCTCCAACGTATACTGCAGGCTGCAAGAGTTAGATAGTCTGAGAAGTGTGGCTAGGATGTTGGGGTTTGGAGCAAAAGTTTTTGAAGGAAATTTTTACTTTTAAATTTAGTTTAATTGAATACTTACAAAAAACTGTACAGGATGTGTTAGTATTAATGTACAATTGTTACCGGTTGGAAAAATAACTTAAACGAACGACTCCTCCTCGCTATTTTTACTGTCCAAAGAAAGAGTTCTAACGACAGGAGGTGGAGGGAAACGATAAGGTGGCGGGTGCGCAAACATTGCCCTTAATTGAGCAATACTCCAACTGATTTCGTTAGGGCACGTTTCCGAACGACTTCTGAATGGTTGAGCCAATTGAGCGTCACTCACGTGAACCGGTGGCAAATGTCGAAGCCGAACCGACGTGCTCTCACTGACGGCCCTCTGTAAGCATCTGTGTAATTTTGGAGACGAATCTAAATTGTCCTCGCTATCTACTTTAACCAATACTGCCTTATGGGTATCGGCTAATTGCTCGTTATAGAGTCGTACCGATTCTTCGTATAATTGTTTAGCTTTGGCGCTTAATGATAATTGTTCTTGCTTCTTCATATCGGCGTTGGCTTTCATGGGTGAGGAATCGCGCACTAGTGGGTTTTGGATATATTAGGCGTGTTATCGCCATCCGAATCGATGAGATCGATGTGGGAGGTAGATTGACTTCGTTTCCATCCTGGTGATCTGCAATGAGCTGTGAACCATACCGCGTGACGATCCGCTCTGTGACCGTATAACAATATTCTGGGATGAGGAGATGAAGATTTGAGTGGTTTTATGGGTGGAGATGGAGCTCTCCCCTTACGGTGAAGGGCCGGCAGCTTTTGAAATAAGGAATCTTCCGATGCCAGATGAGGATTTTGCATACTGTGGCACCATTTGGTTGGTATTTTATCAGTTCGAACTAACTTACGTCTTCTTACAACTTGACAGCACGTTTCACTGATTGAAGATAAATGGGGAACGCTTTTTGTGCATTCTTCGTTTTCGTTGTATAATTGTGTGTCACTTAAAGTTAGACCAGAATCACGGCTTATATTTGTAAGAGAAATTTTCGCACTCGTTTCTAAACAATCTGTTTCTAAACTGTCGACTGAAGAATCATCTCTTCTGAAACCACCTCCTCCACCGTGAAAACTATCAGATTCTTCCGCTCCAGAATCCTGCCTTTCGTCCATGATTTGATTGTATTCTTCGTGAAATAAAACTGGCCAATTATCGATAAGATAACACACTAATGATGGTGTCTTTTTTGATACATCCTATAACAAATCTCAAGATTTATTAAAATTTCAAAACCCATAAATTGAAATATTTTAAAATATGTTTCACCTCAGACATCAAAAAAGACTTTCCAGGATCAGTAGGACATAACAGAGTAGGGCCCATGCAAACAGCAAGATTATATGAAGTCATTTTATTTTCTGAAGAATATTGACTTATCTTCCATAAAACACACAAAAGTTGTTTAAGAAGTTGAATATTTTGAGGGGGTAATCTATTCAACAAACTGCAATATAATACATTACCTTAAATCAATTTTAAAATGATTTAAACTCCATTGTTTTCTATGGAAAGTCAGTTTTTTTAATAAATAAAAAAATATATATTAAAAATAATTGGAAATCATACTTGGTAACAGTTTCTTTTCTTTTCCATTCTGGTTGAATATCAACAGTTTCTAACCACTCCTCATACAAATTAGAAGATAGAAGACAATCAGGCAAACATCTCAAATAATCCTAAAATATCAAATATACAGTAATGCAATATAATGCCAATATATATCAGTTTACTTTTGCATAAATAATACTTTTTTAAATCATTAAATTTCTTATTTTACATCTGCTTTATCTCGCTAATCTAGCAAATAAAATTTAAACACGAAGCACTAGAGATTATTCTTGTGTGATGATAACAATGATAATGCACATTTAAGTCACAATATTCGTAGCAGTTTACTATTACAAAATTTTAGAATTTATTAAATCGAGAATAAACTCTACGACCAATATTTTATTTGAATTTATGTATATATTTGCTTTATAAAAACAACTTACAGATGTATTATTATATATAATTTAATATATAGAATTTATAATGTAGAAATTCTAAGAAACGTAGCGTATAAGAAAAAAATATATATATTTTTTCAGTGGCCCTTACGTGCTATGGCATTAATTATACATATCCCACATACAAAATTTCTATATTTAATGATGTCATAATACTAAATATATTCAAAAGCCGTTTAGCAAGTCAAAAATGTATATAATAATTAACATATAAAGTACACTTGTACGAACCTTTAATACACAAGCCAAAACAATAGTTGGCTTCATTTCTATTTTATAATCGGGATTTTTATCTAAAGCTGTCTTCATTTCTTTACATGCCTTGGTTGTAGCCGATTTTCGAAAGATGTCAACGGTATGAGGTCCCTTCTCGTACAATTGATCTAAAATTGCCTGTAATAACAGTATTTAGGTAAACACATATTGGCTTTTCGATTGATAGGCCTATTTCTAATGGATTATTTACCGATATAGGCTTCGGTAGACTTTGTTGACACACTTTTTCCAATGACTGACCGAACAGTTGACCTCGGGAAACACAATTCTTATCTTCCTGGTTCACGTTTTGCTTACTAATTTGACGACGGAATGGCCAAGGAATGAATGGACCTTTTTTCAATTTTTTTGTTTTCTTCTTATCGCCTAATAAGAATAGTTTTATTAAGTGTTAATTTGTTTTTTTAAATATAATTAATTTGATTGCCTTTAACGACTTACCTAATTTATAATTATCATCCGACGTTTTTCTCAATATAAAAAAGCATTTAGGCTTATTTCTCGAATCAGACTGGCCAATTTCCGAACGTTGTAAGGATTTTCTCATCATATTCATTTTGATACAAAATGGATATTCGTGTCCTGTAAAAATGGGATTTAAAAATTAAAAAAAAAACTCCAAATATAATTTCAAGGATAGATAAACAAACGACATAAATCCATAAAGAATGCAAATGGTGATTTAAATTTCCGCAGCACATGACTTTCAATTTAAATTACGCTCGAAAATAGCCAAATAAAAATAATGACAATGATTTATATTTTATACGAAAATCAAATAGTTATACTGAATTTTAATTTATTATATTTTAAATACCTATTAATGGATAGGGCGAACCGTCTTTTCCATATTTCGTCCAGAGCCGATAATGATGATAATCTTCCTAATTAGTTTTAATATAAATTAATTTTTAAAATATTAAAATAATACACTTCAATAACTGAATTAAAATATACTCACATAACTATCTAATGCTTTCAATAATAAAATAATACAGTCACGAGCTGTGTGGCGACTAGTTATTTTCAAAATCGTTTGCTAAAATAATATAAATTATATATTAAAACATAAATTACACATTAAAATTTAATACCTATTATCAAGACTTACCCTATTTTCAGAGTTTGATTTGCTAAATGATACTTGAATAGAGAGAACTCTAGGAATTTCCTTATCTTTGGCTGTATCAATGAGCCTGTAATTTTGTAGGAGGGGAGAAAAAAAATATATATATGTACAAAAAATCATATAATAATTTAAAATGTAATCTAAAGAAGATAAAGCAAATAACGTGATAATTTTAATGGGAAAATATTGCTATAAAATGAAACTTACTCTCGAAGAGTATAGTACCAACTGTCTTTCAGATGCACAGAACTGAAAATGAAAGAAAAATATTATCGAAAAGTCCTTAGCCAGAAGCGACGAGGGTGAGGACTACGTGACAAAAGTCATTCAACCTTTGAACGGACAAGGGGTCAAAACAGATTTGGCAAATTGCAAATGTCATTCTGATATTTATCTTAAAGGCAATAAAATTTTAAATTAAAATGCATCCTGTATTTTACATAAAGAATTGCATTTTAATGCATTGTTATTGTCGTGTAAGATGAACAAATTAGAAATCAAATTACTGTACGAATACATAATTAAAGCGTCAAGTAATACACGTGTTTATTTACAGCATATAATATTTCATTTTTAGTACAAATCTTTGAACCAGAAATTATTCAGTTAGAGAAAATATTTCAATCATATTATTATGTATTATGTAATAGTCAATAATTGCAATTTAATTTGTTTGCATTTATTTACAAATGCCGGAAGTACCGTTAAAAGCTTAATAGTAAAAGTCAATAGTAATAAACTGATTAACGATAATCACCTGAATGTAATTACTTGGTTAGTTGTTGGCCATCCTATTACAAAAGAGCTATTGCTAATTGATGCACTTTCCCAAACATCGTCCACACAATCTGCCAGCCACAATTCATTTAATGGTATTTTTTCTTTCAGGCGATAAGTTTTCGGGGATCTAAAAATAAAATATTAATATATTTTCCTTCGTTTCATAAAAACTATTTAAAAAATTAGACTTTTTCCTACCTAGCTTTGGCGATTAATAGAAGATCGTTAAATAAAAAGATATGTCTTTGGTGCCTTTGCATTCCCTATTTAATGAATAAAAAGTCGATTATTTTGTAGTTACTTAGAATATAATTTTCATAAAATTGATGTGGACTTCATAAGATTTATATTCCCTCTTAAAACTGCTGGTTTATTTCATATTTTAGGTTATATTTCTTATTTATTTGTAACCTTATTTTACTTACTGTAGTGAATATAACTTCTGCACTTCTTAAGAAATTCCGAACAGGTTCTTTTCTGAATGCCGAAGAAGTGAGCCATTCTTTACCTACTTGATTTGTTGGTCTGATAAAAGATATATGAACGAACAGTAGATTAGTTTAGGTCTATAAAACTCCTTTTTTTTTACTTTATTAAGAGGATTAGTTATTGTATTAGAGATTAAATATAAGAAATGATATAATACGTACATACCGTGCTGCATAACTATGTATATAGTAACTATCTAAATATAGTAAGAAGCCAATAAAGATATATCAGAATTAATTAAAAATCTAATAAGCCCTGCCTATTATTATTTAAGGGCGTGTTTGTTTATTGAATGTTATTAAATAGCTGCTGGGAAACTATATTCTGTGACGGTATTCTTTTTAAAACGGAAATGTAGGCCAATTCTTTTAACTCCTACACAATACACAATGAAGAAGACAGTTGAGAGAAACGGTATCTCTGACCTCAGCACCTCACAACAGCATTTATAAGATTGGCTCGTGTATCTAATTACTATTTCCCAAGGTCACTTAAGAAGGTTTGACTGAATGGAATGCGATTCCCCTCTTTTGCACCGCTACCTAGACACGACACCTGTGCCTAACTTACATCTGGATAAGTAACTTAATCGATGACATACATAAGTCTACCGGGCGAAATGGAAGCCTTCCAATTATTTAGAATATAAAATAGCTTGTTAATAAATAATTTATAAACTAAATTGAGATACTTACTGCACGGAATGGGTGAATTTGAGCTTGTTAGTGAAGGATCTTTGCAATCGGAAATTTGTTACGGATTTCGTTCGATATAACGTTTTCTTCTGTAAAAAAAACAACTCTACTCTTATTTCTGTATATATTATTTATTAATATGTAACAATATACTAATTAATACAATAAAAAATCAAAGCTATCTGTACCTAAAGATACTAAAAATAAAATTCTCCAAAACCTTTTTATTTATTTTCTTAAATATAAACTGTTTAGGACGGAATAAAAAATGTTTAAAAATTTTTATTACAGTTTTAAAAATGGCAATAAAGTGATTTTTTTTGAAAAAAAAAAAATTGTTTTATAATACTTTAAAGCAGTTTTATCGAATTAACCCTCGATTTTGGCTTGTTTAAAACGTCGTAGCTTATATATTTCTCTATAGTTTGATTATTATTATTATTATTATAGCCTATTTACCTTATTTATTGGATCACATTCTTCTAAATGAAGATTATCGTATGGAAATAATAATTGAATCTCTTGTAAATCGTTCAAGCCTTCTCCTCTATTTATCATCTAAAAATACAAATAAAACAAATTTAAAACTTCTAAATCGCTGTTATAAATATCCATTATTAATATATGTTATCGATAACAATATATTTTAAAGAAACTGTGTCCGGGATGTATTCTGATGTAACTTCTTATCTAGTATTTAGCCTCTGGGAAAAAAGCACAGATCTTAAACGAGCCATGCACCAACAGGATCATCACTATGTAAAAACATGTCTAGGAGACGAGTTGTTCTATAAAATAGCCAGGAAATATCCGACAATTTATAAAAAGAATAGTTAAAATACTTGAATACTCTGAAGTTTTAAAACTTACTCTAATCATTTTACATTTATACTAAAATATTCTTTATTTATTATTCCTCTTCATGAAATATTTATACAGTATAATTGATTTCAAAACTTCTGGTATACGAAGGAAAAATACTAATAATTCAACCAGAAAGTATAGATAAATCTAATTTATTATAAGTTTTAAATGAACCTTAAGAATATTTCGATGAAAATTGATAAATGACATTGACTTTTTGTCCTTAATCTAAATTATGCTTCTTTTTCGCCACTGAAATTATACTTTTAAATCAATCATTAAGAATAAAAAAAAAACAACAATTTACTTCTTTAAAGTACATATTTTAAAGCCTATATAATTTGTTAACATTTGTACAATTATCACATATTTTCTTTTGCCACTGAAGGATATATATAAATTTTCTTTTTTTAAATAACTCGTAGAAACAATTAAACTTAGAAAAACAATAATATTAAACCTTGGCGAGTTTTTGAGCAATTTCTTAAATGAAATAGAATTTATGTTTAAAAGAATAGAGGAAAAAATTCTAAGGATTTCCTGTTAAAAATTAAAAAAAAAAAAGCATTTTTTCCACATATATGTATAGAATTATAAAACAATTCGACCTAATTCTGTTAGTCAAAAACCTCAAAATTAATATTCTAAATTCGTTTAATGTTTATCTATAAAATGGAATTGTAATTAAATTTATTTTAAAACAATTATAATTAATTAATTTCATAACAATTTAATTCAATGATAAATTACGAAATGAAATAGAGTTAGAAAGGGATGTAATTATATATTTTATCCAGTTTAATTTAAACATTTTAAATATAGAAAGAATAAATTTACAGTTAACGTCTTAATTTATTATACTGTAGTTAATTATTTTAGGTACTTACGGTATGCTAGGAGTATCCAAACATTCTTAACATGCGTTATAAACTGACTGCTCGGAGAAACAAGCTCCAAGCGATACGAAAGAGAGGCTGAGCAACTTGGCTTGTCCTACATTAGCCCTTTACCTATGCTTATTAATGGCATTTCCATATTCCACGTGCTTATAAAGTAACTCCATATGCGTCAAAGTAATTATAAATCCTTATATTATATTATTAATATCGTTATTATTATTCATTTTTAGTATCGATGATGATGTAAATTGTAAATTTATAGAGTATAAATTGGTTTAAGTTAGTTAATTAATTAATTATCTTAATGTATACATACCATACACTTTTTTTAAAGCAAGTTTAGCTACTAGTTATTTAATTTTAAACGGTTCAACGATGATGTATATGTTACATTAATTAACTTTGAAGTTTGGAATCTTTATTTAAGTTTTGGCCCTTGGTCAGAATGTTTATATTAAAAACTGTAAACAAACCACGTGTATTGTTTACATACCTATTTTAAAGTAATAAGTCTGTACGAAGTCGAATAAATCATTTATTTAAAAAAAAAACAAGACTAAAATAAGGTTATAGGGCCAATATTCTAATACTTTTCATCAAAATGGCTTTCGGTCATGCTGCCAGAAATGAATTACACGTCCTCGATATACCAATGGTTTAAAAATTATTTATTTCTGTATTCTTATTACTATAATTAGCGAGAGATAAAATTTTAGTTGTTAAGGAAATAAAAGAAAAAAAAAATGCTCTTTTCTAATCGATATTATGAACTTGAATTAGTTTAAAATACAAATAAAAATTATTATTATTATTATTACGTGTTTTATATATACATTGGATATGAATTTACAAATTGTATCCGGGAAATGCGCTTGAAAATTACTTAGAATCAAACGTAAATATCCTAATTTTGTTTGAATTTGTATTCAAATTTCATTAATTAATTGTTTTCTTTTTCTTTAATATTTTAAATTTTAATTGAGTAATTAAACATTTTGTAATTTTCGAAAATGAACTTTTCTACGTTATGAATTTAAGTCATTTATTTCTTGTCAAAAACAATACTAATTAATAAGATAAAAAATATATATATATATTCTAACCAGTTTCTCAACGGTTAAAAACTAGTATAAGTTTGAATTATTCCAAGAATTAAACGTCACGAATTACTTGTTACTCGAGAACAATTTATAAAAAGTAAAAATATTTTCATTTAATGTATTGTTCATAAATAAGAAAAAAAAGTAAAATATATATAGTACCATTTTCTGAGTTATTTAAAGAATTTTTTAAATTAATATAAATCATAAATAGTTAGATATTTAGAATATAAATACTGTCTTACACTTAAATATTACACATGAATATTTAAACAAATATATTTACTATTAGTAACATAGTTTTATGATTCATATAGAACATAAAAGACCTTAGAAAAGGAAGAAAAAATTAAAAAAAATAAATAATAATATAAATTAAAAGTGATCATTTATAATTATAAATAAAAACGTTTCTTTATCAGAAGTCGTTGAACTATATAATTATTATAACAAAAAAGAAAACATTGATATTTACTGATACAAAAAGATTTTCTATTCTTTATAAAAGAGAATTGAAAAGAAGACTTTTTAGAACTTCAAACGTTAAATCTCTTCCGCAAGTTTTTCACGTCCGGGCATTCCTGTTTTCTGAGAAATTAGGAGCGTTATGCACAATTATCTTATTGAAGGGCATAAAAAAACAAAAGAAGATGGAACTTTTCTTAAGAAAATCTCGCCAAATATACTTGTAAGAGCGAAACGAATTCAAAAATATATATAATTGCGCGTAAATCAATCAAAACACACTTAAAAATTATGCACATTGTATTCAATTTTGTAAGTGTAAAGTGTATAAATTTCAGTGTAAGTGTCCTTGATTTAATTAGAATTTTACTACTAAAAATAGAATAAAATTTCAAAAGAAAAATCCGAACGTTCTGGAAAATTAGTAAAGTTTATTTATAAACTTACCATAATTTATTTCTTGTGAAGAAAATGACATGGTGGACGAAGAAACTGGATGATGTTTAAGCTTTGAAGAAAGTGAACCCATTGGAAAATGTAAGGATGGTTTTTGATGACGTAACAACTTGGCGGTCAACTTGGTTGATTGACCGGCACTGAAAAAATAAGAACTATTATTCTTAGATAAATCTTAATAATTCAAATTAAATTTTTATGATGGGGAAAAAAAGAACTGAAAGAATCTAAACGCGTTAAAGAAACTCTCTGAAAGTATTAAGATCAAGGAAAGAGATGAATATAGTCAAGGCCATTCTATAGCCAGCGGCTAGTAAACATCAAATCGGTCATTCAACTTATAAAAGATTCATAATGTTAATTTTCATCCAGGAAGAATTTTGAAAATTTTATTATGTAGAAAATTGCCGACAAATTGCATTGTGATGAGGACTCGTCTCGGATTAATACATTAATTAACACAAACAATATGTGTGTATTTTTCAAATTTACTAAATCCATGATAAATAATTTTTTTAAATTTATATTAATGATTTTCTCGTTCAAGTTTAAAATAATAATAAAAACATATGAAGTCAAAACGATTCTATTAGGGCTGCCTGCCGCGCGCTTCCTGCAGCAACACCCCCAAAATACACACCACCAGCCGTAACCGAGCAAAACTCAATTGAACTGATCATTACATCTGAAAATATTTATTATCGGTGAATACTGCACCACGTGGTCTACTCGTAATGATTACAGATTGCTTTAGGCTCCCAATATAAACACGCTGTTGATTTCGAACAATTAAAATAAATATAAAAAATGCGTCTTATAGTCGAACTTACCTCCTCCACCGTGAAAACTATCAGATTCTTCCGCTCCAGAATCCTGCCTTTCGTCCATGATTTGATTGTATTCTTCGTGAAATAAAACTGGCCAATTATCGATAAGATAACACACTAATGATGGTGTCTTTTTTGATACATCCTNGCCAATTCCAGGCGGAAAACTGATCGGGCCGTCACTCGACGACATGGGTGGCGGCCAATCTAGGTGACACAGGCTCTTCTTTCATGACAGGGCCACATCCACGTGTTTTCTGGTAGATACAGGAGCGGACATTTCTGTAGTTCCCCCAACTTCGACCGAAGTAAAAAGAAAGCCAGACTGACTCCAACTTTTTGCAGCAAACGGCTCAACGATCAAAACGTACGGACGGAGACTATTATCATTAGAGTTGGGTCTGCGCCGGTTGTTTCAATGGCTGTTCGTAATAGCAGTGGTATCCAACCCAATAATTGGAGCAGATTTCCTAAGGAACTTTGGTCTGATTGTCGATATTCGACACAAAAGGCTTCTGGATACCCAAACTAAACTTGTGAGCGTGGGAAAAGCCGTGACTGTGTCAATACCAATACTATCACTCGTTGGAGACAACTCCTCCTTCCACCGTCTGCTCGCAGAGTCTCCAGAGTTAGTCACACCATCTACACCAGCAGAACCGCCCAAACATAGTGTCATCCATTTCATTCAAACCTGGGGACTGCCAGTCGCAGGAAGGCCACGCAGACTTCTGCCCGACAAACTCAACACAGCGAGGAAGGAGTTCGAATATATGATGGCCCAAGGAATTTGCAGACTGTCCAGCAGCCAGTGGGCTAGCCTGTTGCACCTAGTGCGAAAAAGCAACGCCGACTGGAGGCCCTGCGGAGATTATAGGAGATTAAACGCAGTAACAGTTCCTGACCGCTATCCCATACCCCATATACAAGACTGTGTACAACTGTTACGCGGCAAATCCATTTTCTCGATGCTCGACCTAGCGAGGGCTTACCACCAAATCCCAGTGAACCCGGAAGACGTCCCCAAGACAGCAGTAACCACTCCCTTCGGGTTGTTCGAGTTCCTATACATGGGTTTCGGATTATGCAATGCTGCACAGACCGTTGGAAGGTCTGTGCAGCATTGCATAATCCGAAACCCATCAACTAGATAATTGATGGAATTTTAAAATGTTTCTCGTCATCTCGTTATTGTTTGTTAATTTAGTTCGGGCATCTGAAAAGCCTGTTATTTTTCCAACGCATTCCATCAGCCATGGTTCTCTCCATCCACGCACGTTTTACCTGACAAACGAGCAAGAAAATGAAGTTATCAGAAGAGTTGTTTGTGAAGATTTCGATTGCCCATTCTTCACAGTTGAAAGAGATCATCCCAACTTCATGAGACCATCCCAACTCCAACAGAGAAATTATAGGGAATCAAAATTCCTATTCTCGTCCGACAGGCAAAAATGCAATGCAACCAAAACTCTAGATTTAGCCATGAGCAAACTTACTGCTTATAGACAAGGATCAAATGCGCGTGAAAAAGTATATCCTGCAACTCAACCAGTTCTCGTTCAGATTGACCAATTTTCTACAGTTCGTTCCAGCAATCCTTGGTGTCGATTGACCTTCACTGCTGGGTTTTACACACCTCATTATTGGGGAATCCCCGCTGCTCCTCTCGAAGCTTCGCTCAAATTTCTCCAGCTTAATGAAAATTTTCCGGTTTTTGTCCATACATTTACCGGTTCCATCGAACGTCATTTACTTAATGAGGTCGAAATCTTTCGAGAAAATTTAGAAAAACTTCAACTGTGTTACAAATCAATTAGGTTTTATTTAGGTGAGTAATTCGTAAATCATTTTAAAGCTACTAATTTTAATTTGCTTATTTTTTTTAAGTTTCGTTTATAATTTCTTTTTCTTCAGCCCTGTACGATATACCAGTTCTTAAAGATGATTCCCGACACGAAATATGGTTCGAAAAGTGTTAAAAAATACGAATTTCTGTACTAATGATGTCATGTGATATATTGTATATATTATCTACAAGGTTATTTTTTGAATTAAAAAGATTTTTTTTATTAAAATAAAAACAGCGTGTTTCTTTTTAATGATGACCGCCTACAGGAAAATCGGCATACCATCCGAAAGCTCCGTGATGACCAGAATATGCTCCCATATCGAGATGTCCAGATACACCGTCATCTCCATGATGAGATGCTTCGGCTTTCAGTTCTTTACTTTGTGCAACTTCGTAGTCATCCCCTCCTTCCTCTACCGACTCTTCCACTGTTTCCTCTTCGTGAGCTTCCTCAGTTTCAGCTGGTTTGCTTAATGTCGTGGCAACAATAGCCATTACCAACGATGCGAATAACTGTGAAAATTAAATGCGAAATTAATATAGGAATTAATACTCTTTGTTCTACAATTTCCTCCTTTAAAACGATCGTTATTAATCATCCTTAAGAAGTTTAAAACATTAAAATAAAGTGAAATAGATGTCTTATAAATGTCATAAATACATCAAGACTATATTAAGATAAAGATTTAAAGGACAGATTTAAGATTTTAAGGCTTATTATATTAATTTTTAACACTACATGGCTCAGTATTTACACGCTAAAATTAAGATAAAATTTGAGTATCAATCTTCGTTCTGCTCAAATTTTAAAGGCTTCTGTTCTAAAAATCTCGAAAAATTTTTAAACAATATAAAAATCTTCCTTAAAATTTAAATCTAAGCATAAATTTCATGAAAGAAATAAGATTTTTCTCAAGAACTTATTCATAAAATGAGAATTCAGCTTACCAACCAGTGGAACTTCATGGTGTCTAAGGGTGTTTTGGGTGAATTTTCAGCAGTCCCCTTTTATATAAGTCTTATTTTTGTATAGAAAAAAGTTTATTTCTAGAAAGTGGAACGGTATTTAGTAAATAACGGTACTGTCCGAGTCATCACCACCAGGCATTTGTAGCATTTAATAGCTTTCACTCTTCGGGTCGTCAACCTTAATTGGTAAATTCACTACTTTTCGAAAGTCTTTAATTATTTTCATCGAACTTCTATGTTTAGTGTATGCATTATAAATTAAATGTTCAGTACTTTATAAGATCATTCTCCATTTTTTTCCCTTTGTTGTGATTCAATTTACAGTTTAAAATGTTTAATTCTACTGTATTAAACGATGATTGGTTATAATTTAAATTTAAAAATTGTAATCGATTACAAAAATTTAAATCTATAAAAGCTAATTGATTAATAATTTTATATTTTATAAAGGATATAGTATGACGTCATCAGAAAAATATATATAGGTAACAAAAGTGTAGAAAGTACAACTAGATAATTTATGGAATTTTAAAATGTTTCTCGTCATCTCGTTATTGTTTGTTAATTTAGTTCGGGCAACTGAAAAGCCTGTTATTTTTCCAACGTAAGTTATTCCCATTATCTATATCATCATTTTGACTTGTTTAACAACAGAATTTCCTTGTTTAGGCATTCCATCAGCCATGGTTCTCTCCATCCACGCACGTTTTACCTGACAAACGAGCAAGAAAATGAAGTTATCAGAAGAGTTGTTTGTGAAGGTAAATAACATAAAATATATTGCCCATTATACATTTCATTGTAATTAAAATATTTTTCAATAATTTAAAATGAATTGTAAAACAAAAGTTCGGATCTTATCCCAAAAATGACATCAGAAGTCAACGTTTTCTACAATTCTTGAATTTTTTCTGTATCTTTTTTTTATAGATTTCGATTGCCCATTCTTCACAGTTGAAAGAGATCATCCCAACTTCATCCAACAGAGAAATTATAGGGAATCAAAATTCCTATTCTCGTCCGACAGGCAAAAATGCAATGTAACCAAAACTCTAGATTTAGCCATGAGCAAACTTACTGCTTATAGACAAGGTAAATACTTTTATTTTGGTTAGGTCGGATATTCAAAGTTATCAGGATTATTTTTTTATATTATATTATATATATATTTTTATAATTTTTATTATTTGCTTATTCCTTTTTTTAAGGATCAAATGCGCGTGAAAAAGTATATCCTGCAACTCAACCAGTTCTCGTTCAGATTGACCAATTTTCTACAGTTCGTTCCAGCAATCCTTGGTGTCGATTGACCTTCACTGTTGGGTTTTACACACCTCATTATTGGGGAATCCCCGCTGCTCCTCTCGAAGTAAGTTTTAAAACTGTTTTATTCAAGTTATTACCATAAAATTTTATTAAATTTTACAACATTAACTTTAATATCTTTCGATAAAAACTTACTTTTACTTTTTATGTTGTCAAAAATAATTTTTAGCTCGCTATAACAGGGTGAAAATTTTTTTTAATACACCCATCAATTATTGTTATTTATTTTTCTACGAAGTATTCATTATAAATAGCTTTTCTGTGACGCAAAACGCCCTTTTTAAGACTTTGACTGACAGTTATGAATTAAAATTAGTCTGGCCTTACGAAAGAGTTGCAAATTAATTCATAAATTTTACAGGAAATGCAATATGCCCGTAAAAACGTTACAGAGTTTTAAAAGTTAATTTTTTTTATATTATGATTTATTGCCATTTGTTATAACTTCATTTATTTTTATTTAATTTCAGGCTTCGCTCAAATTTCTCCAGCTTAATGAAAATTTTCCGGTTTTTGTCCATACATTTACCGGTTCCATCGAACGTCATTTACTTAATGAGGTCGAAATCTTTCGAGAAAATTTAGAAAAACTTCAACTGTGTTACAAATCAATTAGGTTTTATTTAGCCCTGTACGATATACCAGTTCTTAAAGATGATTCCCGACACGAAATATGGTTCGAAAAGTGTTAAAAAATACAAATTTCTGTACTAATGATGTCATGTGATATATTGTATATATTATCTACAAGGTTATTTTTTGAATTAAAAAGATTTGTGTTTTTAATTCAAACACAAATCTTTTTAACCTTGATATATATGAAAATGCTGGAAATGTATGTGAAAATCTGGAGTTGAGAAGGGATATTTTAAATATTTTAAAGAAAGATAATTTTTCTATAATGTTTGTTAAAGGAAGTACTTCCTCTGATTCATAAAGAGAAGCAATGTAGTTCCTTCAAAACTGATAGTCAAGTGAGGCATCAAACTCAACTATCAGCCCAAAAGCACCTGATTTCCCCCCCTTATGGTGGAAATATGGCATGATATTTGAGTTATACCATTGGTGAACCAATAAGTAAATAACGTAAAGGGTCACCTTCAAACTATGCTTTTAGTCATGCTTTAGTCACCCTTTAGCCACATGCTTAAGTAATAGTTCTCATTGTTTGGTGCACTTGCTGAATCATCGAGCTACCAAACTCCCTACTCTCCATCTCTAGATGTTCTTAACACTCTCGATACCTTCATCATCTTGGATGTATGTAAACAGGTAACAAATTGATAAATTTTGTAAACCTCTCTCAAAATCAAGTTCTATTGAGATATCGAATATTTAGAAATTAAATTGTAGAACCTCTGCATTTATTTTGTATAGTTAATCCTTTGATTAATTCATTTAAGTTTATCATCATGTATAGAATTATTTAAATGTTTAAATAAATATTTTTCGTTATATTCAAATCCATCTAAGTGCCTCCATTGTTATCTCCACAGAAACCCAATAAGTCTACTCTCCTAAGTTCTGGCCATTTTTGGAAATATTTTAGACCACCCAGAGATTTATTCAATTCAATTGCGAGTTAGGATGCAAATAATTTTATCCTAACTGGTGTCAGGCTCCTGACTTAGAGGAGAGAGATTAGTGAGCTCTCTCTTCTTTTTGTCTTTCCGATATACATCCTTATAAGTGTCAAGGCTCACAAAAGAGTCATTTTTCATATATATATAAACAGTCCATCAAGAGTAATTAATAGACTCCTGATCCCATTTGTCTTATCAAACACATGGAGGACATTATAGAAGTGATAAACAGATAAATATTTTTAATATGTAAAATCATGTAACTACTTGTAAAATTGTATTACTATTTAAAAATTTGTTGATGTGGGGTATGAAAACAATTTTGGTAGTGATAAGTTTAATTAATTTTAAATATCATATGTTAATGTTAATATTAATTTTAAACTTATTCTTAGCAAAACAAGTTTAAAGTTCAAATTGGCAATCTTTGTTTGATAACAATTGTAAACTATGCTTTTATAATTTACTAGAAAATGAACCCGACATTGCGGGGCAAAAAGTAATGATAGGGAAGATTATTATTATTAGATTATAGCTGATCTTATCCATTTTCACCAGGTGCAAAAATTAGGTTCGTCCTCTTCCAAGGCTAATTAGAGNATATGTATAAATGTATTGTATTCTTTCCATATTTACCTGAAAAAATTGCCCCTTTTCAAGAGCACAAATTCCAATATGATCGCCATATCTCGTTGCGGATTGTACAGCATCTATCTGATTCTCCTTCCATAAATATGTTGATAAATATTCAATAGTCGATTCGTTTTTACCCGTTGTAGGAGAAATCAGCCATTCACCAGTCCTATATGAATAAAATTTAATTAAAAATCATCAAATATAAATTTTATGTTAATATAAAACTGACGAAAATGATACAAATATTAACCAATTAGAATTTAAAAATAATAAATAAATAAATAAATAAAATGTTTTAACCGATAAGAATATTTAATTTTTAAATACAAATTACAATTTATCTACGTGTAAACATTTGAAATTTTAATTATTTAGTAATTGGAGCGTTTAAATTTAAAATTATAACGAAGACCAATCAGAATCGCTTAAATTTAAATTTAAATTTCACGATAGCCAATCAACGAATGCTAAACTTACGGGGCTACAATAGAAACTCCCGCTAAGCCAAGTGCGAGATTGCAACTAGGTCCAGATAAACTAGCAGCAACAGCAATTCGTGGATAATATAATATAAATGCTAAACACATTTCTTGCTGCGTTCCTAAACCACCCTAAAAATAAAACAAGCCATTTATTTTATTTTGTTATTATTATTATTATTATTACCTTTTTTTTTATTATCCGAAAGAAAGAAATAAACACAACATACCAAAGTGTTAGAAACTCGATCTGTAGAGTCGTAAACACATTCCACCGTTAAATGATCAGACTAATAATTACAATAATAAAAAAATTTAACTATCAAGATTTTTAAAAAAAAAATTGACTAAAAAGCTAGAAAATTTTTCTTACTGGTAGAATTTTGACCTCTTTGGATAGGACGGTCCCATCCTGTTTATAAAAATACAAGGCAAATGATTGAGTTATATTAATGACTTCTTAAGTTTAATAACCAAAAAAAGGATTTAGCCAACCTGATAATTAAAATCGTAATACTTGTCTTCAGCTATGGGCTTTAATTCTTTTCCATTCCGAAAATGCCGCAGAGTTAAATGTGTTCCTGTAATTATTTAAAAGATGTGTTAATGTGATTAATCTAAGATTAATAGGCCATCGACATGATTTATTATTCACCTAATAAATGTGAATGAAGAAAAACCGATAATACATAAATTCCTTCAGGTGGAATACTCTGAAAATAAAGACAATCAGAAAATTTTTCAATATTTTCATGTGGTACTTAAAATTCTTAACATTAGAAATGCTTAGATTTGTTTATTAATCCAAGAGATTAATTATAAAACTAAGAAAGATTTTATTGAATGAAGCCACTTACAGAACCATAACATTTTGGATCTCCATGACCAGCAACAATAAATTTCTTCTGCTTTGGAGGGATTAAAACACATGGATACCAAATGGAACCAACCGATAGTATTCCAGCATCGTAAGTTCGTAATTTGGGTGTGTAATACAATCTTAGTCCCGAACTATCGACAATACCTTAAGAAAATGAAATTTTATTGGTAATCAGTTGAAAAATAGTTTAATTTTGATTTATTATCAAGCTATTTAATCCATAGAAAATATGATTTCATCAGTATACCACATCTATAAAAGACTTTTTCCGACAAGATAGAACATTACAACAATTTTGTTTACGTGGTTTATAGACGGTAATGATTTCGAAATATCAAATCTGATAGAAAAAAACAAATAACACTAAAACAGTGTTATTTGTTTTTTAGTTTTTAGTTTGATATTTAATCGGCGCTTTATACAGTTCAATGGGCAAACAGGGCAATTGTCTGGAGTCCCCAACAATAGGGAGCCTCCAATCAGTGTTTTGTAAGAAAATATCTTTCCCCAAAAAAATC